AATCATATAGATATTTTTGAATTTGGCATGCATACATTATTTACAAATCTTTTCTTAATTTCTTTCCAGACATAGCATATCCATAAACATATCCTAAGAGAGTAGACATAATTAGCATTTTAAGAAGAATAAACTATTTTCTTAATTGTCTGTTTGAAGTGCAGCATTCAAACAGCTTTGCCAATACATCCACAACAAATAAACATGTCCTACTAATCTAAGTAATGGGGCAAATCCTGATGACCAAATCCTGCCTAGTCCTACAAGGTATATGTCTATTCACAAGAAGATGATCTGCGTAGTCCTAAGAGCTGCAATACTTTGCGTTTGTTTCTTAAAAGGAAAACATAAAACACAATATATGCCAGGTAATCATTATTTATCTCCAGTGGAAGTAGTAACCCAGCCAAACCTTTATTCTTCCACCAGATCTCAGAGTGTAGAAACCATTTTACTCTTCCTGAGGACTAGGCTCTCTCTGGGCAAGGCACACAGCCACTCTCACTAGCAGGGTGCAGCAAGGTCTGGCCAAATTAAATTTTGTTTATTTCAGAATCGGTTTGCACGTGTGTGTTGTTATGTCTGACCTAGAAAGGCAAGTGGTTTTGAAGTAAAAAAAGAAACATTGAAACAAACATTTTATTAACTTTTACTAAACTCTGATTTTTAAAGGGCAGTATTGGTCTACTGGAGTCACCATGAAAATCAAAATACTTGAATTCTTTTCCAGTTTTGCACAGTTAGTTTGAAAGGAATGTGCAGAGAGGAGCTAGGAACATGTTTCATACACTGCTAAATCCCATTACAGGCACTAAAATAGTACTCTGGGTTTATATGTCTTATTCCAGGCTTATATAGCATAAGGATGAGTTTCACTTCTTTCAGTCTTGATCTTTGACAACTTAAGGGCTTGTTTAATACCTCTTTCTATATGTAAAATGTGAATAATAGCAGTATTTGGACTTTTTTAAAAATGACATGGAGGTCCATGAAAAGGTAATAGATAAAGACAAATGCAGTGGTGGTGATTTTGCAGATTACTCGAAAGAGAACCAAAGTAATGAAGTTTTTTCAAGCTTTAAGCCATGCTTAATTCAGATAAAATTCAGTGGCTTTCAGTCCCTACTCTTCATTTGCCCAGACTCCAGAGTGCAGAAATTTCAGCAAACAGTATTTCACCTTCAGTCAAATGGCTTGTGTCATTGCTGGCTGGTATTTGTGGACATTATGTGCCATACCATCTTTTTTTCAGAACCAAGATTAGTGTTTTACAACACTGCCAAATTCTGCACTTTGTAACTGACATATAGATGGAGGCATCTGAGCCATCACTGTCATCTAGCATTCCCTGCCTCCTTTCTGGCAGCACTGCCTCTCTGACAGTGACATTCCCAGCCCAAGTCTCTCTCAATCAAATCACTGGCAAATTTCCCAACACCTTGAATAGGAACAGAATTGGGTCCCATGACCACAAGATGCATGTGCATCTCTAATCACACTGTAATCAGCAAGTGGTCATGATTACTATCTAGCAATCCAAACTGAGGGGCTGGTGACATCTGAGAGAGAGCTGATTATATTAACACTCAAAGGCGAAGACAGAACTTATGTACACCACCCGAAAAGATAATGCGTTGCCTAAGGGAAATCATACAAGGCAAAATCTATGCCAACTACCCTGAAATACTCCTCTGATTCAAGTCATCTGTTTACCAAGGAAAAGAAAACAGAAGATCCGTCCTTGCTGATCAAATGACAAAAATATGATACAAGCAATTGCTTATATCATATCGTTTGGACTATTTTTCATTAAAACTTACCTAAGCAATTCATTTCCCTGAACATTCCTTGCAAAGAAAATAGCCCCCAAAGAATCCTTAAAATATATTCTTGACTCTTTGCACATTTTTTAGAAAGGCTTTTGTTTATTTCATTGTGGATGGGTCAATGTTATTCAGCACTTATAAGACCGCAGTGAAAGAAGCCTCTCACAAAATCTTAGAGCAGTAAGAGGCAAAACAGAAACACTGTTTTAGAAGCAGCAGGTACCATTTCTGGTCTAGGACCTGTACTGAAGGTAGTCGCTTTTCAAACTTAGCAATGGAACAATTAATAAAGGAACCCATTAAGGTCTGATTGTTGCTGCTAAAAAGGAAGGTTGAATTTCAGTCCTTTGAAGTAACTGAGAATGATTCAGGCCTCATTACAGAGATATAATCTACATTCATACGTTTATGTTAGTGATTCAAATCTATTGGGACAGATTGAATTCCGTTAAATAGTGCATCTTTCCTGCGGAACTTTTCTCAGGCTTTCTCAGGCTAACCTAAGAGGTGACCTAACAATACAAAGTAGTGGGGTATTTAGGGATTCAACTGTGCTATAAAAGAAAGGCTATACAGAAAGTAGAAAAAAGAATGAGATATAATCTAAAAAGCTATGTCAGCTTTTCATTCGGACTCTGTTTTGTAAATGCCCTCCCTGTCATCACATGGGATAGAAAAGGACTCTGTGTTGTAGCAGCTTTAAGTACTGCACTGATTATTGCACCTGCCAGAACCAGATTTAATATGAAATTCAGGAGATCTAGCCTTTGTTCTTAACTCATACAACCAACCAGAAGCTAAAATTAGGTCTAAGCAGAACTCTTTGAGAAGAGTAAATTCAAGAGGCTTTTTTTTTTAAGCAGTAGGGGTTAAATATATATGTTTGAGCTCTGACTGCTATTTTCTCTTGCCACTACAGAGAACCTAAAACGTCAGTTTACTGTATTATCCAACATTTGACAGGAAAAAGAGCAAAAACAAAAGGTTTCTTCAAATGTACAAATTTAAGACATATTGTGATTGCTTATGGTTTATCACAAGACATATTGTGATTGCTTATGGTTTAAGATGTTGGAATTGAAAGAACCTGAGTTTCAGAAATCTTACATTGTACCCTTCATGACCTAGACAGCAAGCAAACATTGAAATTAGCTTTGTAGACACTCACGTAAGCTCTCCGGCATTCACCACAGAGTAGGCTTTTGCTTTTCATTTTGTTTTTATTTCTTTTTTTATTAGTTGCCACAAAAGGAAAGCCTAAATCACAGTCACCAAAATTTTTTCTGAAATGCTTTGCACTCAGTGCAAATACATGCAGAATAAATACTCTGAAGTACCATAAACAACATCATAAAACATATTGATTCTAACATTAAATGGTTACATTTTTAAGGCTGTTTAAATGTCACCCCCAGAAGCTGAACACATAAATTTAAGAGCCAACTCTTTCCAGAATAAACACCATAATTGGAGAAAATCATTTCTAATTTCTGTTGTGAAGTTAACAATATATTTAACATCCTAATCTAATGAATCAGCCTAATTTTAGAACTATTTGTCTTTTTCTGCGTTCTCTGTTGTTTAAATTAAGATTGACTCCAAATGGCAAATGTAATTGCATAGGCAGTTTTCCATTGCATTCCACTGATCTGCATTATTAAACTGTGTCTATTTCTAAACGTTCTGGTTTTACCTTTTCAGGAACTCACTTTGTTTCTGCGTCACTTCACTTCTCCGCTACTCCCTTCTCTCAGCCACTGTTCCACCTACTTGCATTCCAGTCCCGTTATTTTACAATAGTAAATGGTGACCCAAAATCAAATATTTTGCATGCTGCCCAGATCCTGTCAGTCCTGGATCCCTTATTGTGGCGTTAAAACATAGTACATCATATGGAAGATGCCTGTTAATTACTGGCTAGGTTGACAGTTCAGTGCTGGGATGGAAATATGAATCTGTTATAGCGTTCAGTATGTGAAATGACAAATCTATTAGGAGAGATGGAATCAAAGGAAAACCTAACAACATATGCCTCTCCACGAAAACAATAGCTTGAAAAATCGCTTTAAAATAGCCTTGAAAATAGAGAATTTGTTTCTTTCTGGCAAAGGAAACTGCATTAGTTTAAAAAAAAAAAAAGACAGCAAAACATTCAGACAGATTTTATGGGGAAACCTTTGCAATCCTAATAAAGCCCCTTTTGCTTTGAAGTCAGATGCTGATTCAGTAAATGACTCATGTTAGCAATTAGAAAATGGTCATTTAGGGCCCTGATTTCATTTGAGACAAGGAGGGTGAGGGTGGGGAAAGAGACACAATAAATCTTGAGAGGCTTAAAAGGAAGAGCAGGCTAAAGTGTGAACTTTTTATTTCAGCAACGGAAGCGAGAAATCAGTGATTCATTAAAGGAGGGAGAAAGACCTCCATGGAAGCTGGCAAAGAAGAAGGAAAAGGAGCTAATTATGTTTCTTCCCTTTTTACTCTCTCTGACCAGCATATAATCTGCTTTTCCAGGGTCTGCCTGTAGTATATACTTCTTTCCAGCCTCCCCACCCAACCCCTCCTCCAGCGGGGGGGAGGGGGAGTTCTAGCAGGCAACAAGCTCCAGGTGGCTTTCTCAAGCACTTCACTGCCAAAAAAATAAAATAAAATCCTGCGCTAGAAAACAATTTTCTTGGGAGGGGGGGGGGGAGAAGGGGAGAAGAAGGAAGGCCTCCCTTGAAGGGATTGGTTCGGTCGGGAAGACAGGGAAATTAGTAAAGCATGAGTCTCCAAGCCATGCTGGTGGCCAGCGCTCCGAGGAGAAGGACGCTTTAGGAGCAATTAGCAGCGAGCTGAAGGCGGCGGCGGCTGCCGCTGCTGCCGCCGCCCGGGAGGAAGCCAGGGCAGCTCCTGGGGCTCCCTCCGCAGCAGGCATTTGCTCACTCCAACTGCAAAAGGGTTTCAGATGTCCCACCGCTGCTTGACCCCCTGCAAATAAGGGTTGACCACCAGAGGCACATCCCACCTCTGACTTGTAATCGCTGACATTTAGGCTACAGCTTCCAACCTGTTTACAACCAAAGGGGGAGGGAGAGTGAAGGGAAAGGGGGGGAGACAAGTTGGGATTTTTCCCCTCTCTCTCTCTCTCTCTCTTTCTTTCTCCTCTCTCTCTCTCTCTCTCTGGATTTTTTTTAATACTGTTCTGGAGAATTCAAAGCAAAACAAAGAAACTGCCTCCTCTGGGGTTGTCAGTGAGAAAGGACGAGTTGTGCAACTGGTTTGGGATTTGCAAAAAAGCAAGGGGGTGGGGATCAGAAGAAGGTGCAAAGCCACAAAGTGTGAGTGCGTGTGTGTGTATGTGTGTGTAAAGGGGGGTGTGTGTGAAAAATCCCTTCCAGCACCCCTTTCTGCTGGTTATTATTGCTGTTGTTGTTCACTTTGCTGTCATCTATTTTTCAGACCTTTCTGCATCTAAGATGGTGAAGAAAGGAGTGAGGAAGAGAACAAAATAACTACTGGGAAGTCTCAAACCAGGTTGGGGAGTGTGTGTGTATGTGGGGGGGGTGGGGTGGGGAAGAGAAAAAGGAAAGAGGATTAACCACAGCAACCCCCCCAAAAAAAACCAACAGCTCTTTTTTCTGAGGGAGGACTCGAAGGATTAAAAGGCAGCAACTTCTGAGGCGATTTGTCCCCTGAGTTATGGATGTTGGTGCACTTACTTCAGGTCAGATCAGAGCTCAGAGGGATCTAACCAGAAGCAGCAACCACCGGCTCTCCACTTGCCTTTTACCAGGTTTTACCCTTCCAGTATGTTTCTTTCGATAAGACATTTTCCAGCGCCCAGAGTTTCAGTACAATGTGCAAATGGATACTGACAAATGGTGCCTCAGCCTTTTCCCACCTGCCTTGTTGCTGCTTGCTGCTGCTCTTCTTGGTGTCTTCTGTGCCTGTCACCTGCCATGACCTCGGCCAGGACATGCTGTCCCCGGAGGCCACCAACTCTTCTTCATCATCCTCCTCCTTCCCCTCGTCCTTCTCCTCTCCTTCCAGTGCGGGGAGACACGTGCGGAGCTACAATCACCTCCAAGGAGACGTGCGCAAGAGGAAGCTCTACTCTTACAACAAGTACTTTCTCAAGATCGAGAAGAACGGCAAGGTCAGCGGCACCAAGAAGGAGAACTGCCCCTTCAGTAAGTAAGGCTCTGCCGCCCCGGCGCCCCGCCG